TACTCCGGTCACGAAGAGGAAAATGCTCCACACACTCAGGGAGTCGCTCTTATGCTGTCCAAAGTAGCACGAAATGCACTTGTAGGATGGGAGTCTCACGGATCCAGAATCATCAAAGCATCATTCAAAACAAAGAAGGAGGGGATCTTAATGAATATTATCCAATGTTATGCACCCACCAATGATAGCAACGACGACATTAAAGATCAGTTCTACGAGCGGCTGCAGTCAATCATTGAGAAATGCCAAGAAAGGACCTAACTATTCTGATGGGAGATCTAAATGCCAAAGTCGGAATAGACAACACTGGATATGAAGATATTATGGGACGACATGGACTGGGAGAAAGAAACGAAAATGGAGAAAGATTTGCAAATTTGTGTGCATTCAACAAATTGGTCATAGGAGGCACAATATTTCCACACAAGCGTATACACAAGGCTACATGGATCTCACCGGACCACACTACAGAGAACCAAATAGATCATATTTGCATCAACAAAAAATTCCGAAGGACAATGGAAGATGTGAGAACCAGGAGAGGTGCTGACGTAGCTTCAGATCACCACCTAGTTGTAGCCAATTTAAAACTGAAGCTAAAAAAGAACTGGACAAGTGGACAAACAGCACTACAAAGGTTCAATACAGCCTTCCTTCGAGATACTGACAAACTCAATGAATTCAAGATAGCTCTCAACAACAGGTTCCAAGCCTTACAAGATCTACTGAAGAAGAAGAAACTACTATGGAGGACAACTGGAAAGGCATCAAGGAAGCATTAACTTCAACGTGTCAAGAGGTTCTGGGCCTAAAGAAACACCATCATAAGGAATGGATCTCTATAGAAACACTGGACAAGATCAAAGAAAGGAAGAACAAGAAGGCAGCAATTAACAACAGCCGAACACGAGCAGAGAAAGTCCAAGCACAAGCTGAATACATAGAAGCAAACAAACAAGTGAAGAGGAGCATTAGAGCCGACAAGAAGAAATACGTGGAAGAACTAGCAACGACGGCAGAAAAAGCTGCTAGAGAAGGAAATATGAAACAGCTTCACGATACAACGAAGAAACTAGCAGGGAAATACAGTAAACCAGAGAGGCCGGTCAAAGACAAAGAAGGCAAGCCAATCACCGAAATTCAACAACAGCGTAACAGATGGGTAGAATACTTCGAGGAACTCCTGAATAGGCCGGCTCCAATGAATCCACCGGACATCGAAGCAGCACACATAGATCTTCCTATAGATGTCAACCCACCAACGACGGAAGAAATTAGAATGGCCGTCAGACAAATCAAGAACGGGAAAGCAGCAGGACCCGACAACATACCAGCTGAAGCACTGAAATCAGACATCGAAGCAACCACAAGCATGCTATACCTTCTATTCAAAAAGATTTGGGAGGAGGAACAAGTGCCAATGGACTGGAAAGAAGGACACCTCGTCAAGATTCCAAAGAAAGGAGATCTGAGCAAATGTGAAAACTACAGAGGCATTACACTACTGTCAATACCAGGGAAAGTCTTCAACAGAGTGTTGCTGAACCGGATGAAGGATGCAGTAGACGCCCAACTTCGAGATCAACAAGCTGGATTCCGTAAGGATCGGTCGTGCACAGACCAAATTGCAACACTACGGATCATCGTCGAACAATCAGTTGAGTGGAACTCATCACTATACATCAACTTCATTGATTATGAAAAGGCATTCGACAGTGTAGATAGGAGGACATTATGGAAACTTCTTCGACACTACGGAGTTCCTGAGAAGATTGTCAACATTATCCGGAACTCATACGACGGACTACAGTGCAAAGTAGTGCATGGAGGACAGCTGACAGATGCATTCCAAGTAAGGACTGGAGTCAGACAAGGCTGTTTACTCTCTCCCTTCCTCTTTCTTCTGGTGGTCGACTGGATTATGAAGACCTCAACATCTGAAGGAAAACACGGAATACAATGGACAGCTCAGAATCAATTAGACGATTTGGACTTCGCAGACGACCTAGCCCTCCTATCACGTACACACGAACAGATGCAGATGAAGACAGCCAGTGTAGCAGCAGTCTCTGCATCAGTAGGCCTCAGCATACACAAAGGGAAAACCAAGGTCCTCAAATTCAAGCGGAGAACAGCAATCCAATCACTCTTGATGGCGAAACTCTGGAAGATGTAGAGTCCTTCACATACCTGGGAAGCATCATCGATGAACAAGGAGGTTCAGATGCAGACGTAAAGGCGAGGATCGGCAAAGCAAGGGTCGCATTCCTACAATTGAAGAACATATGGAACTCAAAACAACTTTCAACCAATATCAAAGTGAGAATCTTCAATACGAACGTCAAGGCAGTTCTACTGTATGGAGCTGAAACTTGGAGAACTACAACAACCACAATCAAGAAAGTACAAGTATTTATAAATAGCTGTCTACGCAAGATACTCAACATCCATTGGCCGGATACCATCAGCAATAGCCTTCTGTGGGAGAGAACAAACCAACTTCCAGCTGAAGAAGAAATTAGGAAAAGACGATGGAAATGGATAGGACATACATTACGCAAATCGTCAAACTGCATCACGAGGCAAGCCCTAACTTGGAATCCTGAAGGGAAGCGAAAAAGAGGAAGGCCAAAGAACACATTGCGTCGGATAATAGAAGCAGATATGAAAAGGATGAATTACAACTGGACGGAGCTGGAAAGGATTGCCCAGGACAGGGTTGGATGGAGAATGCTGGTGAGTGGCCTATGCTCCTTCACGAGGAGTAACAGGCGTAAGTAAGTAAGTTAGTATTTAATACTTTAGAAAAAGGTTCTTAGTTTAAATAGATGCTTTTCATGATGTTATGTACTTCAATTTTGACTGTATGATTGTAAAAGTTTTATTTTGGTCCTGGACTCTACCCTTAATAGTTGTTGATAACGCAACACCAACTGACATAGTAGTGTTTGCTCGTAATATTTACTGTGAGATACAACACATAACAATGTAACTTCAAATTCTGTCATGGTTTTAAGATTATAAATTCAACGATTCACTGAGAATATTGCTGAGGTTTATGAATGGTGTTATCATGAAACGAGATAGTCTGGAGGAACTTTCAATTACAAAAATGAGATCAAGTACGAAGGTTGGAAATCGACATTTCCTACTAGCTTTACCGTATTACCCTAATAAATTTAAATCTAGTTTTTGAAAATTTACAAGTGTTGATTTATGCTATCATTCTCTATCGTTCATAAAAGTCAGAATAACAATAAGTGAATTTGTAGTTTGATATCTTATTTGCTTTAGTTATTAAGATAATGACTGAATACATAGGTATCATAAACTAAGCGCTCATTGTTTGCATGTAGTTGACTGAAAATTTGCTTATCAAACAAATTGGAAATCATTTTCTCTAGCAATAACAAGTAGTGAACTCATCAAGCTATGCTTCGGAATATATGTGAAACTATTTTTTAAATTCATAAATCCACAGCTTCTTTTGTTTGAACATATAAATATTGGTACAAAGGGGCACTGAATACATATGCACCACACAAGTCTCACTTGATATGTGTGAGGGCTGTGATACTGTCCGGGTACCCAAACCGAAGCAGGTGGTTTTCTCAGGGGGCCACACACCGAGCCTTCGACATGAAGGTCTGATCCACAAGGCAGTGGAGCATCGTAAGGAGATGCGGTCCCATGGTAGCCGGTGACCAATAATTGGTTCATACGCCATTTGTTCCCTCAGGGTACTGGAGCCCATGTGCACCATTGGTTTGGAATCACGGTTTTCCGACTCCCCTAGGTGGACTCTCCATGTTCACCAACCCGGTTAAAGCGTCGGACATTCGCTTTTCGTCTTCTCAATTTCGTAAACAACACCCTCGCCATGAGAAGGTAGTGAGTAAGACTTCCCTAGTAGTGGCTGTATACGCATGGCCATGTGAGAGCATTTCGAGAAGGAGAGCTAACCCAACTCACTCTCGACCGTACCAGGGCATTCGGGGGCACATGCATAACTAACTGACATGACATATTCACTTATCATTATTTTTTTTGTTTTATTGAACAGTTTCAGAAAATGAACTAACCGCTAAAAAAATTATATTTGTTTCAGATGGCAATAAAAAGTGGAAAACATCTTAAAAAGTTAGACATAATTCTAATCAAGTGATACATTATCAACCATCAAAATCACAGAAGTTAACATGAATCACTTAAATACCATATAAAAATCAGTAGTATAACTGTGATTTAAAAAAATCAATCAATCTTATTATTTGAATTAGTGAATCTTAGGTGTTTACCACTTGCTGAGAATGTTCGTTATATAACAAGGATAAGTTGCTATAAAGAAATTCATTTGTATTTGGTATGATTCATGTATATGTACAAGAAAGACTATTTTATTCAATTGAAACAAACTGATAATTGTATCAAGCTGATTATATTACAAAAACGTCGATTATTAAAAGCACAATTATCTTTTTACAAATGCTTGGAACTTTACTGGTGTACAATAAATATGATAAGAGTAAGCAACAGCATAGAAATTGTCAACAATTATTACCAATCATACTTATATTATGGCAATACTAAACGATGTCCATTATATAATCAACGAATAACTCCTATAGAATAACTGAAAGAACTACCCTTCTCTAAACTAAATGATCACACTTTTCACAGAACATTCCCAACTATGATAACTAAACGTACAAACAGCAAAAGGATTGCTCTATGTGCCAAATATTCTTATCATCAAACACATGATATATTATTGATAGACATCAATAAGTCAGCTAAAACGTAGAACCAGGAGCATATATTCATTGGTTCAAGTTTCCACACCTCATCAGCACAACAAGATGATCACTGAATTCATAGAAGTAGTTACTTCAATGGTAGTAATATATAAAAGAAAGACTGCAATTGATAAATCTTCAACTGTTAAAATTCAAGTATATTTTCAACATTGAAGTCTAATAAAACAAAGACAAAAAATCTGACACAATCTGAAGGTGCTTCACAAAAAGAGAATAATATAATTGATAAGTTGAAAATTATTCCATTGAATGAAACGATTGAAGTAAATAAAGATGACTCCACTGAATCGATTAATAACAAAGCCCAAATGATGAACGATTCTACAGATACAACAATGAAAAATCATAATAAGGATCAGGTTGTTGACGTATATAACCAGAATAGAATTGTTGCATCAATTTCAAAAGAATCTCTTACGGTATCTGAAATGACAGTTTGGTAACATTTACATAACCTTGTGTTTAATACATTAATTGACTTAGATCAAGAAATCCTCCTATCGATTGGTGCAATATCACAATCCGATTATTTTCAATCACAGATACCAGAGCATCACCAATTCAATTTATCAAATTTCAAGGATATACTCAGTGATAAATCGAGAGAAACTATCCCTAATAGTGAATCATAATCGAAAGAGCATTAAGATAAAAGAAATTTGTGCGAGTTGAACAATTTTAGTTCAGTCATTGTACTAAAAGATATAGTCAGTAATTATCATCCACAACTTGAAACAAAAGTCACAATACCTCCACTAATTGTCACAGTTTATTTGAATCACTATCAGATGGTCAGGTGGCTGGACTCTTAATATGTGAAACACGTTCATAACCAGCATATCCGGCAGAACACCTTGAAACAAGAGTTAATGTCTTTCATTTAGTTTACTTTAAATGCAATAATTGTGCTGGTATACTACACAGAGGAACATGGAATCAAAAAGATTAAAACTTTTATTGTAATCTATGTCGTAGAAAAATAGCAATACGAACACTGAGGCAATAAAACGTGTATTGATGTCAAGTTTTATTTTGAAAATTTATCAATAAACAAATTAATTTACTCTCATTATTGGATGTTACTTACTGATTCTCTTTGTTCATGTTCTCCTTGAAAACCAAAGAAAAAAATTATATCTGTCGTAGAAACTATTCACAATACAGAAGGCCTTCATTGCTTAGTAATTACCAGTACGGTGATAAATCCCAGACTAAAAAATAATGAATGTATTCTTTAAACAATGTAATATCATTAGGGATGAATAACATTGGGATAGGAACCAATGAATCATTATTAGAAGATAGGTACTGATTAAAAACCATATTCCTGAAATGTTTAACATATGATATTAGTTTGAAGATAATTTACAATATGGATTGACTGCTGTCGACAACCAGAAGTTGTCAGTCAGTGATGTCAAATTGAATTAGTATCGCGTCGCAAGTTGTTTACAAAACTCAGATATTGAAAGGAAGTTATGTAACAATTCAACGGCTAGTGAGAAATGTTAAAGTGAAGATAACTGACCATTTGATGGATATTAAGAAAAGAATAATTGAAAGTTGAAATAATGACTAATTGATAGTTATGAAAAATAATTGGGAAGGAGTAGGAAAAACGATAGACTATGGGATGCAGAAATGAAGGTTAAGATCATGGTAGAATGAGGGATTGACCAACTGCTTTTGTATACAAAGTTTAGGCCTGAGTCGGTAAATAGCTATAGCCTCTTATATATATATATATATATATGTTCCCCATTTGTATCCCCTTTGAACCGATTATTCTGACCGTATGATTTCGGAGAATTTTGGTGGAGTGACCAAAATCAGTTCGATGTAAATTACATAGTGCTCAGTTTGTGGAAACTTAGGAGACGAAGCGAGATTTCATTCCTAATGAAATTATGTCTAATACTACCTATCTTACTAAGAAACTAAGATTAAAGAAACGCCATAATGGTTAAAAAAATGTAAGAATTCACAGCACTGTAATTACATTCATAATCAAACCTACAGTGAGTGAGAGCAGTTGATTTAACAGTATACCGTGAGCTGACTAGAAAGTTCGGTGAAACTAGAATTTATGGACGATATTTGAGCGACGTTAAAGTGACCCTGAGGGTGCCCATCTAGTGATTAAGACCAAATGAGGGTTATAAACCTGTGTGAGGAATTAGAGTTAGGATTTACGGTTGATGGTTAGGGTTAGGAATTAGATTTAGGGTTTTCATCACGAACTGACACCATCCATAATGCCAAAATTTTATTTAGCCAAATGGATGAGTGAATGTCGCGCCGAAATCCGAGATCAGTTATCTTATACCTCATTGGTTCGCCGAAAGTTCAGTTAAATTACTCTTAAATATTTAATGACATACCCAAATTTGAACATCAATTTTACAATCATTAAGGAACTGCTTTATGAGTGGAGAAATAGGGAGAAAAATATAGCTAGTTTGATATACGACTCCTAGCATATTTTGGGGCAACCACGTTTAACAAATATGATAAACACACGTGAAGAATGATTATTTACTAAACACAACCGTTTTGGGAGCTTTTATAGAATAATACAAACTTACAAATAGTTGAAATGTTCTCAATCTCAAAGCAAGAATCCACAATACATACGAAGATAATGCTATAAAAGCACAATAAACCTAGAGCAATTTCTATTATACGACGGACGTTACATCTATGTAATATTATTTGACCATTTCCTTTTTACTCATAACTGTCTTCTATTATTTCTTGACGCAATTGACATGCGTTCTCCTTGATGCTTAAATATTTGTTGTAAGTTGAATAGTCTTCAATGTAATATCTCAATTTTACCACATATGAAACGTACACCCACATATTATGAGACAAAAAGAATCTTTAAACATGAGCCAACTTTAGATGGCTATTTTGAGACAAAACTGGGAAGTATCATGCATAAAGTTCTATTTCTAAAAGCAAATATGACAGAAGCCAATTAGGAATGGTGAGCCACTGGATTCTGATCTGATCCGTGTAAGGAGATATCGACTTACTAGTTGGTGTCAAAACTACAACCATAATCTATAACTTCAAACAATGAGTGGTATGGATTGCGTTTACGTCATTTACCGTCCTAATTTATTCGTTTTGAACTATATGTCTTAGTACTTCATTTTTCAATGAAATAGATCTTATCATTGTCACTTCTTTGCATTTTCGACTTTGGTTAATTATTTATTTTTCTGTGCTTTACTAGGGTGTGATAGCTCGGAGTGACACGCATTTATATCACGTCCCAAGATATATATAACTAACGTAATAAAAAAATAATTGGCTAAACACATCGGTGCCTTTACTTTTCAACGTTTCGAAATCCAAATGAATTTTTAAGTGTCAAGTAACTAAAATCTTAGCTTACAAGATTTTTTCTAAGTTAGATCATCTCCCAAGTATGTAAAATTTAAATACAAAAATAATGGTGACAATAACCTAGCATTTTTTTTATTATAAAACTTGTAAACCCTTACAGTTCTGACAGGAACTCTTTAATTTGTGTGGTAAAATGTTATTAAATTGACTGTCGGCAAAAAGTAAAATAAGATTCAAATTGTCAAATGATAACATCTTTCGTCTCGAAACTAAACGATGCAAGTTGTTTAAGAGTGAGATTTACAATGAGAAACAAAATAAGCCACTTAAAACACCAAAATAACCGATAAATGAGATTGCCCTCTATCAATTTTAAAGACTGATATATAGTTACGAATAGTACACTGCATCAAGCTTGACTAACGAAATAATATTAAAAATAACGATTACAATCAGAAAATCTGAAAACAGCAAGCAGTTTCAAAAATTTTACAACGATAATAAAAGTAATATGATATACACTTAAAAAGTATTTTTATGAAATTTCTTGAAACCACAATATTTTTCTAGAAAACATTGGTAGTTATGATTAAAAAAGAGATGTTATGACTCTTCCTCTCCGGTTTCCGAATTAATATTCGACAAGTTTACAGTTGATAGACCAATATTATCATTGTTTATCAAAGCTGTCTCACTTCCTTCTACAGATTCTGAACTTGACTCAGAATTTTGTGCGAAACTAATGTTCACTACTTCATGTAAGTTAGATATGTTATCACTAGCTGAGATTGGATCGACTACAGACTGACCAGAACTAGGATTTTCTGAAGCTTCGAAAATGCATTCACCAGAATCCATATCACGAGTTTGATTCGTAGGATTACACATAATAATGGGAGGAGAATCATTCAGTGCCAAAGATGATGAAGTCACAATCTGGAAACTAATGCCAACCTGTTGGAACGAAAAAAAGATTGATATAAATACGTTAGACAGTCTCAAATGCATAGATTATAGTAAGAATATACCTACTGAATGGCATTAACTTTGCACTTATGGCTAAATTTGAAAATGTTAACATTTCCCAGACTATTATTTTATATAATCATAGACTGAAATCTAAAAAATAAATCCTCTGAATTTATTTTTCTACTACACAAGTACATTAAAACAACTCATAAAATTTTAAATAAAAGATCTGAATAAAACAAAAGAGAACCGAGTGGTGAACTTGAATCCAACTTTGTTCATCGGTTTTAAATGCTTATGATTTGTCGATGTTTTGATGCTACATGCATAGTTTTCCGATTTGAAATGAAACATATGTTCATTTAATAAGAGATTATTTGTAATGGTAGTTGATTAATTAAACAACCTGCTTTAGATAATACACACATAGCAAGAACGATGTCATCTTCACAGCAACTATTTTTTCGACATCAGGAGAAAAATTACTGGGTGCGAACGGATGGCTAACAATAACATTTCAGATTTGGAAACTAAAAATAGTTTAAAGATAATATAAATTAGGGTTCATAATCAAAAGTGTATAAACGAATGTAACAATAAATAATCTCAAGTAACTAATTATCACTTATTTACCATCATTATTTAAACACATAAACACTGATACAAGAAGGCACCAAATGCATACGCGCCACACAAATCATTCGATATGTGTGAGGGCTGGAATACTGCACCGGGAGCCCGAACCTAAGCAAACAATAAGAATTCGATGGAAAATATATCACCTTCGGAACTAGAAAGTGACATAATCTCAAACTTTTATTGTATTTATAGTTATCAAAACATCGTATCACAATTCACTGACCAAAACTTACTAATGAATCTGTACTAGATTCTACCGTTTCAGTTAAATCTGAAGACGGAAGTCTACGTCTTTTGGCGGGACTTTCTGACAAATCTGCATCTTTGCTTGTTGAAACATTAGGATCACTACCACTAGAATCCATTCCTGGTGAACGGGGACGTCTAACCCCAACCAAAACAGGTAAGAGTGAGTTAGATGAAGTAATTGATCCCTAGAAAATAAAAACAGTCTATAAATACAATGACCAGATAATTTTGGTAATGCGACTCTATTGTGTTTAAACCGAACTCAGGTCAGTAACGTCAGAAATAAAGATGGAAAATACATAATCATACATCCTACTTAGGGACTGATATTCTTGAAAACGGTGACGAGATAATATAGACATCAACAAGTTGATAAGGAGGACATCTTATGAATGCTAAGAAAAAAACAGGCAGTTTGAAAATAAAAACACGAAATCTAAAGTTACAAAAAACAAATGAGAGATAATAGGTCTTACAAGTTATTTTGGGAGATTTAAGTAAATCTAACATGAATTTTTGGTGCTAACGAAGAAACCATAACAGTAAGAATGAAACTGAAAAATCAAAGAATTTCAAACCAACTGGAGTAATGTACTTTACAGAAGTATTTATTAGGTTTCATGACCATACACTACAGTAAATTAGATCAACGACTTAGACTTTTAAGACTTGCTGCTGCGATTTTTACAATTGAGGATCATCAGAGATTCGAAAACATGCACTGAAGCTTTTTAGGTGACTATATTTCAAAAAGATAATCTAATTTATACGATATATAATAAGATAATCTTAGTCGGGGTTAAATCCGATATTTTACGAAAGAGGGAATTCACATAAACTAGGATGTCATCTTTCGGTTACTGACTCATTTTTTACCTAAACTACGATAATCATGCTGTCAAGAGTAGAACTATCTTCCAAACACATAAAAATTAGGAATATAAATTTGATTTACCTGATGATTTAGGTCCTCCATAGATGATACACAACTCAAATGAGCAGATGGGTCGCTTGTGGATTTTGGAGACCCACTGTGCAATGGTACAGACGTTACTGAGCTAGAAACTTCAGAATTTAAGTTTTGTACAAATGCTTCAAGTTGACCAATAGGTCTCAGAACTTGACAACCAGCCAAATCACTTTCATCTCCAGTTGTGTCGAGCTATAAAGTCAAAGCAAAATTTTTTCATCCACTAAACGTCACCGAATTCGAATAAGATTTAAGACGAACAGTGAAGTAATAGAATTCATAAACTTTCAACTGACTCCACAAGAACAAAAGGCCTTGAAAGAACTCAGAAATAGAAAAGATAATGGATGAGGAATTTATTGCTTTTATGTGAATCCAAAAGCTTAAGACTTGTTAACTTGTTTCCAGTATTACTAGGGCGGGACACGAGCGGAAACAGATAAACTGTATAGAACTCTGAGTCGCTGATTAATTATATGTCTAACGTGAATACTGTATATTTTTTTATTTTAACACATAGATATTGGTACAAGGAGGCACCAAATACATATGCACCACACAAATCTCACTTGATATGTGTGAGGGCTGTGATACTGTCCGGGTACCCAGACCGAAGCAGGTGGTTTTCTTAGGGGGCCACACACCGAGCCTTCGACATAAAGGTCTGATCCACAAGGCAGTGGAGCATCGTAAGGAGATGCAGTCCCATGGTAGCCGGTGACCAATAATTGGTTCATACGCCATTTGTTCCCTCAGGGTACTGGAGCCCATGTGCACCATTGGTTTGGAATCACGGTTTTCCGACTCCCCTAGGTGGACTCTCCATGTTTACCAACCCGGTTAAAGCGTCGGACATTCGCTTTTCGTCCTCTCAATTTCGTAAACAACACCCTCGCCACGAGAAGGTAGTGAGTAAGACTTCCCTAGTAGTGGCTGTATACGCATGGCCATGTGAGAGCATTTCGAGGAGAGCTAACGCAACTCACTCTCGACCGTACCAGGGCATTTGGGGGCACGTGAATACTGAGGCGTGATCTTCGAAATTAACACTATCCATAAATTGCTAGTAATAAGACGTTTCCATCCAACAAAAAAACATTCTAGACTTTATAGCATCGCGACTAGATCACTTAGGAGCTTCGTTAAAAAAAACTAACAATTCGCATCTGCAAGTGATAACTTGAATAAAATAGTGTTGGTGAAACCTGCTATATTCACTTAATATATTGCTACAGAGTAGTTGAAGATTAGCGTTCCCAAATTGATTATACATATATTACACAAAACTCATTTGGATACTAACCTCTAATCTTCTGGAAGGCGAATCATTTCGGTTTACATTGGAAACTGAAGGTTTAATACCACTGCTAGATACTTCATCTGGTTTATCACACTGAGCTATCGTGTCTTCCAATGTTTCCGAGTTGACGATTGGCATTTTAGTCGCCTCATTCCATGGAAGAGAATTATCTTGTATTTCATCTTGTACAACTGAAGAGAGTTTATGTGAAGCATCTGATGGTTTTTCTTGTAGGTTAGATTCTACAGGTAGAGCATGTAAACACTCAGACGACTCAGAGCAGAAGCTAGATCCAACAGACGATAAGTGATCGGAATTAACTTGGGTATTAGAATCAGTATGTTTGTTTTCTGACGATCGATTAAGTTGGTCGTAATCTTCGTCATTATTCGAGTATGCAGAGAGAAGACTACCACACAAACCCTACAAAAGAAAATTTTATTAATTTTTAGAAACATTGTTATAACATTTACCGTGTTTCATGTAGAAGTAAACTACTGCTTGGCTAATCATGTATTTAATTTGTAACTTGCAACCTAGCTCTTACTTGATCATGATAATCACATCTACACAAAGTTTATACGCTTAAACATATAATCAAATTTGAACTTTAACCAAGGAAAAGGTAATTTCATGTCTAAGGCGAATGAGATAACTACACAGCTCAAAAACTTACACTGAGTAAAGGAGCACTTGTTAAAGACTGGTCAGCCAACCTGGTTTTGGAAACAGAACTACGAAACGGCATTGGAGGAGTGTGTGGAAGATTCAATGAATTTTGTGCTTTGAAAAGCCACGAACTTGCACAAGAGTTGTTCATTAATGGATTTGGATTCATACTATGATCAGCTTTTGGTGATTGTCGTTCATCACTCCCATCACTACTATTATCCTCACCTTCGTCATCTTCTTCAGTAACCTCTTCATCTGAGGACTTGGAAATATGGTGTACTTGAGGATTCTCAGGAGGTGGAGAGGTGGGTGGTGAAGTAATAGAACCCTCTATTAATAACCCACAGTCATCCAAACCAGCACGACTTGGGAACCTGGGATCTTCTTGGTGAATTTTGCTGAAAACAATGAATATTAACTAAAACATAAGGTTAACAGTAGAGCTAGAAGTAGCATTACTTAAATTTGTTTTAATAAGCTTTCAGCACATAATCTGGAGGATGAAGGAAGATTCCGAGTACATGATGATATTCGTTATGGACTACTGATTTCCCTTTCACCGTAATAAAACCATAAATTAACATCAACCAGTCATTACAGACAGCCCAACCTATTTATATTATTGATAATTTAATTTTAATGCACTACGATGTGGCAACACGGATTAATGCGTATTTGTGCTAGGTTTCATGGTGTTTAAGATTAACTCACTGACTCGACTGATATACAGCAGAAATCTTGGATCAAATAGTTTCAAATTTTGCAACAAACGCAAATAAGTATCGACCAATGTTGATACGAAACAGCATTCAAGTTATCTCTAAGACAATGTTCGCACAATCTATGCTCTAACTTATTACCCTGAAAACCCAACTTTAATGTAGAAAGCCGGACGAGGATAAATGAGCGTACTGGTGACAAATATCTCGTCACGCAAATACACGACACGTGAAACATCCGCACCACTTTGATGTCAAACATATAATGTTTGAGGCGGTGAAAGAGAAATGTTAACATAAGTTGCATAACCACGGAGCTTTATTGCACCTCAAAGCAAAATGAATAGTTTTGATATCACAACCAATAGCAAATGGGATGAAGGGGTAAATCCAAACAAAATAAACTCAACTGGACCATGTATTCGTTGGTGCAGTGAAAAATAAACACTTATGTCGTATAAATCGCCTTTAAATATCAAAGATCTCATTTAGTGTCTTTCAGAACTTTCGCATACAATTATCGTAAAATTTACCATATATTTACAAAACTATTTAACTCGTTCGACTAGCTAGGCATAAACTGATCTCTCGAACGAGTATCTCTAGTGGAAGTCTGTTTCATCGTTTAAAAAGACCGATTACGGCCCTGATGAACTAAGAAACTATTTAAAAAGATGATACATATTTGGTCTTCAATACTTTTTTAGCAATAAATCCTTAGTTTTGTCATTGGCCAATCTCAGGACCGCTAAAATTGTTGCTCAACTCCAACAGTATAACTGACTTTACCCTGTTCATTAATAGAGGTATGACAACATAAGCTGGAAAAGCATTCAACAGAGCACAGCCTAGCACGCAAGCCTCTGATATGATGACTTGGACAACTCCGAACGCAATGTATTGTCAGAAATATTGATATAATGTAAAAGTCACACGTGAACTTACTTTCCATAAGGATCTACTGTGGATACCACCATACAAACCTGCAACTAATGAATTCAATGTACATGTATTACCTTCTCTAGTCCTCTCAGGAACTTATCCACTCTTTGGTAGTGACGAGTAGGACTATCAAATAGTTCGCAAATTCTCTGAATAGTAAAAGGTATTCTGACAAGAAAATCCTTCCATAATAATAACTTACCCATCAAGTCTTTTGAGAGTATTGAACACTCGCTGCCTAAGTTCACTTAAGTGAGGTGGGGTAGCTAACATTGAGTAATCTAAACCACTCCCTTCCGATATGAATGAGTCGACCACTTTGTTGTACTTATGTAGTAGCAATGGTTTTACATATATCCAAGGAAGCCTAATAAGTTAAACTGACAGGTAATGGAATTACCTTGTTTGTCCATTTCTGGATATCTGTTTGATGTAATCTTCGAGAATTGATGGTATAGACAGAGGTTTTTCCTGCTCAAAACCTATGATTTTTGGGTTTAATAGATGAAGACCATACACTTTAATGCGCAGAGAATGCCTTCCCCATTTTCCATTGGAAGGAGCGTCATGGGTCACAAGTGCCGCGGAATTGTTGGAATTTAAATGCTTAAAATGGTTGTGCACGGAATAGAAGAAGCTTTCGCTCAACGGGCTTCCGTGTCTAATAGAAGTGGATCAACAATACCTCCAGGCAGGAACCCTGATATATTAACGATAATAGAGGAAAAAAGAAATTGGTAAATCATAATAAGACGTTATCCTTAGTCCTTAAGAATCGACCAAGTTTCTTAATAAAGGACTCCCTGGAAGTCACTTGGACTAGCTCAGTTGGCAGCGAATTCCAGCAGTTGACAACTCTTAAGGGGTAGAAGCTGTGTCTACAGTCTGTAGCGGTAAATAAATCCCCAAAATAAATAACTCCGTAAGTTTTCGACATTGGATGCCGACCATATGTTTTAGTGGACTCATCTAGCTGAAGGAGCTCGGTCATGCATCCGCACCAGATCACGCGTGGTAACGCTGTGCTCAACATTTACCGCAATCGCTAGCCAGATTAGATCAGAGAATTCCGATATATTGGTTATGGCCAAACACACTCTTCCGATCTCCTCGACTCTGTCTTTTGATTTCTCTCGGTGGGTACAAATTATATTAGATGTTGCTGGTAAAAGCGTTGTCGAACACTGAATACCTGTGTCATTTTTATTGGTGAGACCGACGTGATCTGGTACACCTAATTGCGACTGTGAGTCTGTCCCTTTTTGGGATTTTTATATATTATTGTCTTTTTTTAATTTTAATACATTGTGATATTTTTTTCCCGTGTCTCAGGATATCTATATTTTTCCCTCGTATTCTCGCACTTAATATTCCCCTATGACCGAACAGACTCCTAAGGTATTTAAAATTAAGACCTCGTTCCAGCTCATGCCCTTCTGGCCCGACAATATCGAAGCCTGGTTCTACTACGCAGAAGCCCACTTCCACGAGCACGGCGTGATCGACACACGTGCACGATTCCTCGCAGTAGTCAAGGCACTACCACAGGAACGTAGCACCTAGTATGTTTACTAGTGATGTTTCTGAACCTTACGAAACCTTAAAGCGTTCGATTCTTAAACGAGGAGACCTAACCGATCGACAAAGGTTAAATCAACTCTTTAATAACATAGACCTGCAGCACGGTTCTGCAACGGACATGTTGCAAAGGATGAGAGGGGTTATAAGCCTAAGAACTTTCGAAGAAGGTCTATTCAAACAACTTTTCTCGTCTAAACTTCCTCAAAAGGTGCAAGCAGTTCTGGTCTCGTGTCGAAACAATGCCTTAGACGAACTGACTGCATCTGCCGATCGTATCTTAGAAATTACGAAATCTTCTACCACCGAGGTATTTTCAGTCAAAGAAAAGCCCCAAACGACTCAGAATGACATAACTGAGTTATGTCATACACTTAGGCGTTATCTTAATTTTCGTAACGACCGTAAGTGATCGCACACCCCGCGTAGAAGCATTTCTCGTAAGCGATCTGTCTCTAGACCACGAGAGATGGATAACCCCGACTGGTGCTGGTATCATAACCAGTATGGAAAGTCTTCCAGAAATTGCAGAAAACCCTGCAATTTTACCAACTCAAATCCGACTGACTCGAAAAACAACTCGGGAAACTTCCAAGCCGGCACGCGTTAACGGCAACCGTAGCCGGCGAACATAGCCGTCTGTTATACGTCACAGATGTGACAACGAGAGTTCGCTACCTCGTCGACACTGGCGCAGAAGTTAGCGTTCTCCCAGCGAATCCTAACGACCGGCTTAACGAATCGGCTCTAAACTTACAGGCGGCAAACGGAAAACCGATCGCTACGTATGGCAAAAGGTACGTTTACCTTAACGTGGGTTTACGCAAACCCATCCACTGGATTTTCGTCGTTGCAGATGTTTCTATGCCAATCATTGGTATGGACCTTCTACAACACCACAATCTGATCATCGACACTCGCAAACGGAGGCTAGTAGACGGAAACACTAATTTGTCCGTTTGCGTAACTTCTTTTACTGGTTGTAGAGTATCCCCAGTCACAATTAAGCATAGGATAGACCCACTCTATCAGCCACTACTCGACAAGTATCCTGAGATACAACAAACGCAACCGAGATTACCGTGTGTAACCAGCATCGTTACACATCACATCACTACTACAGGACCACTTGTATTTCCTAAAGCACGCCGACTAGCTCCTGAAAAGCTGAGGTTGGCGAAAAACGAGTTCGACCATATGATAGACTTAGGAATCATACGACCGTCAAGTAGCCCATATGCATCTCCGTTGCACATGGTCCCTAAAAAGGACAGCAACGATTGGCGTCCAACTGGCGACTATCGGCGATTGAACGCGAAAACCATTCCCGATCGTCACCCGTTTCCTCATATTCACGATTTGACAGCTACCTTGAAAGGTACAACTGTCTTTTCGAAAATCGACTTGGTTAAAGCGCGTAACCAAATCCCTATGGCTACTGACGACATACCGAAAACAGCTATCATAACTCCCTTCGGACTCTATGAATTTTTGCGAATGCCTTTCGGTCTAAGAAACGCTGCTCAAACATTCCAAAGATTCATAGACGACGTTTTTCGAGGTCTCAACTTCGTACATGCGTATATTGATGACTGCCTAATCGCAAGTCCGGACAGAGAAACACATCTCAAGCATCTGGACCTTGTTTTCGAACGACTACAAAAACATGGCATAACTGTAAACGTTCAGAAATGTGAATTCGGGACCAGCTCATTAAACTTTCTAGGACACACTATAGATGCTCAAGGCATTCGACCCCTTAGGACCAAAGCGGCGGCAATTCTGGATTACCCAGAACCGACCACGATCAAGCAACTACGAACGTTTAACGGCCTTGTAAGTTTCTATGGACGATTCGTACCTAAATCCGCTTTACTCATGAAACCTCTTACCGACGAACTTCGTGGAAATGCTAAATCCACTAATTTGGACGACACCGCATGTAAAGCATTCTCCACAATTAAGGAACTCATCGCCAAAGCAACAATGCTTGCACATCAGGACACTCAAACACCCATTAGCATCGCAGTAGACGCATCCGACTCAGCAATCGGAGGAGTCTTATAACAATGGGTTAACAACTCCTGGCAACCTTTGTCGTTTTTCTCTAGACGGTTGCTAGACACCGAATCGAGGTACAACACATTCGGTAGGGAACTCCTAGCTATGTATTGTGCTGTACGACATTTTCAACACTATATCGAAGGTCGTAAACCACTCACCTTCTCTCTAAGCTCTACTTCAGACAAGTACTCTCCCCGTGAGTCTCGACAACTGGACTACATTTCGCAGTTTACTTCAGATATTCAACACATCTCTGGAGCAAACAATGTAGTTGCAGGCGCCTCATCTCGCATAACTTCCTTGAACAGTTTCCAAGGAATCGACCTTCTTAAACTCGCCGAGCTTCAAAAAGAAGACACTGATCTTCAGCACGAGTTATCGTCTACAACCCTTAAACTACGCATCAAACAGATGGGAACAGGTAAGGAAACCTTACTTTGTGACACATCTACAGGTAGGGATCGCCCAATCGTGCCGAAACATTATCGACGCAATGTCTTCAACACAATGCACAAACTTTCGCATCCAGGTGTTCGTGCAACCATCAAGCTTATAGCAGAACGGTTTTGCTGGCCTGGCATGAATAAAGACGTGAGGGAGTGGGCACGCTCCTGTGTAAGCTGCCAAAAATCTAAGGTTATCAGACACAATAAATGTCCCTTAGGCTCATTTAAAACTCCCGATGCACGTTTCGACCATGTTCATCTGGATTTGGTAGGACCTTCACCAGATTCAAATGGATACTCTTGCCTCTTAACCTGCGTAGACCGTTTCACTCGATGGCCAGAAGCAGTATCTATCAAGGACATCACTGCTGAAACAGTGGCCCGCACCTTCGTCGAACGACGGGTAGCAAACTTCGGCTGCCCTTCAACCATCACTACAGACCGCGGACGTCAGTTTGAATCTGAACTTTTCCGTCGTCTGACCACACTTTTAGGAATCACTCGCTTCCGAACGACCGCCTACCATCCACAAGCAAACGGGTTGGTAGAACGTTTTCACCGACAACTGAAAGCTTCACTATCAGCTGCAAACGTTTCACAGTGGACCGACGCTCTTCCACTCGTCTTACTAGGTATTCGCAATGCAGTGAAAGCTAGCACTGGATACACTGCGGCTCAACTCGTTTATGGAACGACACTTCGACTTCCAGGAGGATTCGTGGATCCTTCATCCTCTTCAATGTACATCGCGCGAACTTTGAAAGTGGTAACAATTTTTAACGTGGTTTAGGAATTCTTCGACTTGCTCTTTTGTAGGGTGTATTATACTGTGATTATCATCCTATCCTGTACATCGGGTACATCTTACCCCGAAAAATAAGGAAAAAACTTATTTTTATTCGACGGACAATTACCAGTTCGTATTGTACCTATTGCGGACTTAAGTCGTAAATAGATCTGCAATTTATTATATACTCACAGTCTCTAATCCTAGTATTAACCAGGTTAATACTTAATAACAACTAATACTCAGATATTATATTTAATTTAACGAGCACTGTGCTCACTTATTTTCATATCATGTCCAATAACTCCAGTAAAAGAGGAATTTCACCAACTTCTAAGCCAAATAAAAGGTCCAAATCTGTAACCCCTACAACTGACGACTCAGTGCTTGACAATGTCGAACCTTTAACTACTGAAAAATATGTGTATTGTACACAAATGTCTCTATCGTCACCAGATTCTCCATGTCGCAGCCCCTCTATCTTTACGTGCAGTATGCCAACGGTAAGACTGGTTGACATACAAGACACTATACCTACGTGCATCGAAAAGTCAGCACAGTCTACTAGACAGTATGTGCTACCAAGGCCTAAATCTAAAATTTCAAAAACTAAAGAGTCCAATGGTCCACCTCATACACACCAAAATACTGATAGATATAGTAATGACATCCGACAGCTACAAAACTCTCTATCCGAAATTAACGGCAAACTTGAGCAATTA